AAAATTTGGGGGCCCCCCCCCCCCCCCCCCCCCCCCCCTACCCCTGCCACCCGATTCTCCACGGAAATGGCACACCGACACTGGCGCCTCAGGACGAGTCTGCCGTTCTCTTCGTGATCGACACGAGGTGAGTCGTTATTTTCACAATGACGACGATGAGCTAACCCGTTCTTGAGTAAAAAAACGCGTGCGCACTCGTACGAACATCATAGTTCTTGTCACTTCTGTGTCCTCGCGTACAAAACAGCGAAGCGAAACGTTTCGCGAAGGCCACTGCTGTGCGTTGGAGGGGGCGAATACGTACGTGTAGCATACTTGATGGGGCGTTTCTTCGGCCGCTGGTTGTTGAGGAGAATATGTATCCGCGTGCATAGCTAACGGAGATTCTTTGACCGCTTGGGAGGCGAATTACTACGCATCTGCCCCAAATAGTGGCGTTTTTCTGGCCACTGTTGTCGGGCTCGCTGTTCTTGTCGCCAATCGTTCTTCTTATGCCCCTCTTTTTCTTGGTCATTGTGATCATCTTGGCAGCGGCTCGATGTGCGTGACCACGGCCGTGGAAGGTCGTCTAGCCCTGCGCGGAGACCGCACCAAGGACATGAGCCGTCTTCTTACCGCGGAGGTGAGCACTCCCGTAGAAGAACGAAAACCAGACAGGGGAGGGAGCGCCCTCTAATGCGTAGCACGGAACACTTGTTTAGATCCACAGCAAGTTTCCTCAATCTCTTGGGTAGACATGTGAATGCGGGAGGCTTGTTGCAATTTTTCTATAGCTTCGCCCCATGTCAGGAACTGCTCCGCGGCCAAGAATACACTTACAAACGTCATGAAAGGCTGTGGGTGGCACGCTCTGCTCTACACGTTGTTCCCATGCACCCCGCCTGCTTATGCCGGAGAGCCCTCTGTCACCTCCCGGGCAGGCATCCTCCCCCGCCTCCACCCAGGTTATTGGGTGTCGGGGCCGTCGGGCGATACGAATGGTCCTCGGGTAGGTAGACTTACCGGGATAGAAACAGGGCAGAATGGCGTACTCCGTCTCAAAGGGCCCGCTCATACATGGGCAAACCCATTCCAGCGCCGAACCAACAGAACGCTTAAGAGACCAACGAGAAGGTGAAACCATGCTTCAGGGGCTGACAGGTCCCGGGAGGACGGTACTCTAGACAGCGAGGAAGAAGGAGTTCCTTGGGCCCAGCAACTCTCTGCCATTTGTCCACAGACGCGGGGGAGGGACAACTGCTCCCGGTGGCGGGTGTCCATTTTGGTGTTTTTTTTCAAGATCGAAACGGTTTTCGGGCACATTGCGTAGGGCGATCGACTACCAACAGGCCAGCGTGCTGACTGTTCTTCCCTGCTGCCTTGAAATTGGTTGTCGTCGTGTGGATGTTCGTGCATTCCTAACGGCATTTTTCTCTTTGCTCTCTCGTCTTTTTGTCAATGCTATCGGTACGCTCTCGTTACTCCGGAGCAGGATGCCAGCAACCAGCACATGCCGGGGCAGCGGAGAGGAATGACGTACGTCTCCCGGCTCCAGTCCATGCAGGCCGCTATCGACGATCAGCTCGAGGTACGCACGACGACAACCGCTAGGCTTTAGCTGGCGCGGTTGGTGTAGCAACACACAGCTTCTGGTCACATGTTGCCTCCACGCAACTACACTACTTGCCACGGAAACTTGACCGCCCGCCCTCGCTCAGACCGACCGCAGAAACACCCTCCCTCCCAGGCTCGATCGTATTTTTCTGCTCCACTATGCCCCGCCTGTTTGGGGGATGCGAAAGAAAAATAGAGAACCGGTATGAAAGAACACCTCGGCCGGAGGCTGCACCTGACCCCCCCCCTCCCCCCCCCTCACCCACTTACGTTCCGGTCCGCAACAACCACAACCAACGAAAACCCAGACCATGGCCAAGGAGACGCCGTCCCGCCACGCCGGGATCGTGACCTTCAACGGCGAGGTCTCCCTGATCGGCGACGGGTCCGGCGACTCCCGCGTCGTGGCCGGGGACCGCCTGTCGGACGGGGAGGCCCTGAAGGAGGTGGGGCGGGCGTACCCGCTCTCGAGGCCCATCTCGGAGGCCAAGTCTCGCCTGGCCGACCGCCTCTTCGCGCTCGAGGAGGGCGGGCCGACCGCCCTGGGCCCCGCCGTCGTGGCCGGCCTGTCCATGCTCAAGGTCAGAGGCACAACGGTAGTGTGGTCGGTTAGATTAATAGTCTAGGTAGATAGGTCCCTTACCCTGCTCGTGGATTCTCGCAATCCCCGCCGTGTTCGTTTGCGTGCATACCATTGGTGTTGACGCTTCGGTGACGTCGTCTGACCGGTCGTGATCTCCGTTCCATGCACACGCGCATGTCTTTAAAGATAGGGCTACTAGTTTCCCAACAACCGCCACGACAATTTTCCGCCGCCATCATCGCATTTCCTCCCCCAGGAACGGGGAGGTCGTGGATCCCGCCTGGTGCTCTGCACGGACGGGCTGGCCAACGTGGGCCTCGGAGCCCTCGACGACCTCCAGAATGACGAACAGAGGCAGGTTGCCGAGTCCTTCTACGAGGACCTTGGCCGCGAGGTATGTTCGTGCATGCCATTGCATACACAAATGCACCACCAAGATGTTCTTTGGTGGAACGGATGGAAATACTTCTATATGTGCAAGTTATGCGTACGTTTTGTAGGGTGTGTTGTGCTTGTTTTATGACCCTATACGACCCGGGATACGAGCGAGACCTATCCCGAACTTCCGTTTCGTTGTCGGGCAGAATACTTGACATGTACCGAGATGGCCAACACGCAACCTGCAAGGGGCCGAAACTACTACGCTTTCGCGAAAAAGCAACCGTCGAAGCGCAATCCAGACGAGGCCTGTAGGCAGTTTACCTCCGGAACTGCAACAACTTCGTGTTGAGTCATATTCACGCTCGCTCAAGCCTCCTCGATACAACAGTCACGCTAGCGCGCCGACGCCCTTGCCCGCTTGCCTCCGCGACCTCACCCCCGCCCTGCACCTGCCCGCACCCGGCCTCGCTCACGCACGCCTAAAAGCTTCTTCTTTTTTTCCCCACACCAATCGTACGCCGATGACTTTCATCACGATGGACACACTAAATACAACCATGCCAAAATCATTCGCACCCCTCACGATTTTTGGTCACGTTGTCCGCACGATGTCCCTCGGAAACCACCGCCGCCACCACTGCTGTGGTGTGACAATGCCTTGACATGACAGTCGTCCGGGAACGGGGTGACGATCGACGTGGTCTCCGTGGACAGCGACGCCTGCGACCTGGAGAACCTCGGCGCCATGGCCGACGTGTCCGGGGGCACCGTGACCAGGGTCAAGGCCTCCGACCTCACGTCCAACTTCGCGGGCATCCTGGCCAACCCCATCCTCGCTTCTCAGGTATGCTTGTCTATTGGAAAATTCCTCGCTCGTGACCCGATGTACCTGCTCAGCAAGCCGATCGCGGCACGCCGGCTTTCAGTGCGCGTTTGCCTGGGATTTTTTTCATTGGAGGTGGGATACACGTTGTACCTACTGTAGTGATGGCTCGGCCGTCGAGCTCTTCTGCAGGAGGAACATCACGCCCTTTACAGCTCGGATTGTCATGATATATGATGTAACGCGTTTCTCTATAGTACCCCGTCATCGCTCACTTATCACCTGCTCCACTTTCACCCTACGCTGCGTGCGCTTCCAATGGTCCTTTCCGCTGTGTGTCTGCCCACCACGTTCCGTGAAAAATACGGAATCGACAAAGGTCTCCGTCCGCGTGACGCTGCACAAGGGACTCAAGTTCCGGAACGCCGACGTCGGGGCCGAAGTGAACACGCTTGACAGGGACATCGGCAACGTGAGAACAACCGAAGGCTTCTTACGGGGATATCCTCCAACACGAGGTTCCTGGTTTCCAGCCGTAGTTCGGCAGGCGGAATAGCTATCAATGTATCATACGCACACTCACCGCACGTCCGTCGACAACGACAAACTCAAAGGAAACAGCCTTTCAGGGCGACTGTGTAGTGAAAATAAATCCAGATCGAATAGGGTGGATGAACGTGCTGAATGAAGTCGGTGGTAAGCGACCGGAGCAAGGGGAGTTCGGATAGAGAGAAATCCGCCACCGGGCATTCATGCTAGCACAAAAGAAGATACGCGGTAAGGATGCGACGTGGTGGCCCTGACACGCTTCCGTCAAACCTCCTCCGCGCTCTCCATGCCGGGGGCACTCGATGACTAGGAACGCGTTTTCTTCTTCTGTTTTGCCCCGTCTAGGACTAAGCGTCTTGTTCGTTGGTCAGCCAAGTTGTGCGGTCGATGAATTAAAGGAACCCATTCATCGACCCACCCAAACCCAAACAACCCTTACCCACAGTTGACTCGGGATCCCATTGTCACGCAAACGCACGCTCCACAACCTTAACCTTAAAGGTGACCCGTGAGACGGAGCTCAACTTCGAGTACCAAGTGCGCAGCAGGACGGAGCGCCGGGCGCTGGGAATCGAAGACAACGGCATCATTTCTTCGCCGACGGTCAGGATTGAGACCCCGCCGAACGCTGCTGATCCTACCCCTGGAGCCGGCGCCGGCGCTGGCGCGGCCGCTATTCCCACCCCGCCTCCCCTGCCGCCCGCTGCCGCCGCCGCTATGCCCACCTCACCACCCGCCGCCGCCGCCGCCGCCACCGCCGCCGCTCCTCCCACCTCGCCGGCCCCGGCGGCGGAGACTCCTCGCGCAGCCCTTCCGTTCCAGGTATGCGTGTTTGGTGGGAAGAGGAGTGTGCCTGGTCGTGTGTGTGTTGTGTGTGCTCGTGTCGGTGTGGTTTTCTTCACTTGGCATCGAATGACTTGTGAAATTGCGTACCATGGTAAGTGTGGCGGTGGGAAAAAAAAACACTCGGACACGCTTTCTTAGTGGTCTCTCGACAGCGGCGGGCAGCAACGAGTGTATGTGTTTAACTTGAACCAGAGGCGAGCATGTTGTTCGTTTGGCCAGTAGTTCAAGGGCATCAGCGGACACCGATCGCGTGCTAACGCGTCTTGCTGTTTGTGGGGTCCTTGGGGCTGTGCCGTATTGTTTCACAGGAGACTGTTTGGTGTTGTTCCCCTCGCCTCTGCGGTACGCTGACCTGTGCCCTCATCGCGTTTATCTCGATAAGACCCGGCTCCATGCTCGTTGTCGGTGCTTCGTGACTGTGCCAGGGATTTTGGACCAAGACCCGGGCAAAAAAGCAAACCACAAACCGCAGCAGCGATAGGAAGGGGGAGGGGGGGGATGTAGCGCTGTGTACTAGAAAGCTCATGTGTATCGCCTTCCATTGCCGAAATTTCAACACCATCAACAACCGTCCTCGGCACTCGCCCCCCCCGTGTTCTCTGCGGAAATTGCTCGCTTGTCGGAATCCCTTTTTTTTGGTGATGGCAATTTCAGGTTCAGATCAGCTACACCCGTCTTGACGGCACCAAGTGCTTGCGTGTACTCACCAAGACCCAGCGGGTTACAAAGAGCAAGGCTGCCGCGGAGAGGTCCATGGAGGTGCGTACGCCCGTGGACCAGGCAGCCGTCGTCATGCCGAGAGAATTGCCATGTGTACCGTTTGTAGTAAAATCTGCATGTTATGCACATGGCTTTCGGTTTTGCTCGGTGTGTGGGCGGTATTGTTCCATCGCCGGGAGTGATGATTAAAACCGTCGCAGCCTTTGTCTCTCAAGCACGGTGCTGGTCTGCTGCTGACGATGCCACCCCGCCGTGACCCGTCGGTCTTCCTTTCGCACCCAACCCCACCACCAGATGGCGGTGGTGGCTGGCCACGCCTCTAGCGCCTCCGGCGTCCTGGCAAGCAAGGGCGCCTACCAGTCCACCCGTGTGACGATGCGGGCCTGGAACAACCTCATGTCGAGGAACCAAACCCGGGAGACACGGGCCCAGGTGAGTGAAGAGTGTGTCGGCGGTGCGTGTGTTGAGTGTTGATCATGGCTCTTCATGTTCGTGTGCCTGAGCCTGTCTTGTTCGCTCTCTCTACCCCAGCTCCCTCCATGTCTCGCTCGCCCTCCCCCCCTCCCCGCTCTCTCTCCCCCTCTCTGCCTACCCCCCCCCTCTCTCTTTCTCCCTCTCATTCTCTCTCTGTCATCCCTCGGCATGGCTGTTTACCATACGGCCACTCCGAGCCAAAAGAGGGCTGACGTCGAACCATGTTGCCGTTCGGACAACTCTATTCTCTTGTTCCGGAACGCCGAGGAAGCTCAACCGTCGATTGTGGCTTTCGCAGGAACCGTGAACGCTCTCCCCGTAGGTCCACAGTAACTCCACCAACTCATTTGAACGACGAATATGGCGAGTGATCATCCACAGTAAACCCTCCCTCCCCCCCCTTACGAAATAGGTGGAAACCTACGGCATGGCGATGCAAGCTCTTGACTCGGAGGTTGTTCAGGCCCAGAGGTCCGAAGGCGGGGCGGGCTTCGGTCATGCGGTGAGCCAGGCCAAGCAGACTAGGGTTCTCGTGCCGTTTCGGGGAGATGCCGTCGGGACGGGCACGACGAGTAAAGCACGAAGTATGAGTCGTGTTGCGAGAACGACGAGAAAGTCGCGGGAAAATCCACGGGGGTATCTTACCGTGTCTGTGCTACCAATCAAAGCACGAGGCATTGAAGATTAGTAGGTCGTGTTGCCAGAACGACAAGAACGTCGCGAAAAAAGCACTGGGGTATATCCTACCGGGTTCGTGTGCGATAAATCATGCCACTTTAGGGCAAAGCACCCCGAGCCGGGCCACAACTTTGTCGTTGCAGTGTTGGAAAATTTGAGCCTTTCAATCAATGGTACGCATCACCGCACCCAAGCAACACACCCGTTGTTCTCCTCCGTTGGATGGAAGCCCACGTTTCGTCCACCTGAAACCGCGCACAAGTTCATATCTTCCCACTGCCTTTGTCGCCGCCGCCGCCGCCGCCGTCGCTTCTCATGCAACACTGCTGTCGCAGGGCGGAGCTGTGGACGACGTCTTGGAGAGTCTAGTCCACGGCAGGGCCCGCAAGTCGGCCCGCTCCGGCAACGACAGCCTGTCCTACAATGCCTTCAGGGCCAAGAGTGGCTCCAAGAAAAAGTAAGTTCGAGTACGGATGGTGCCCGCACTTAAGAACCTCTAGTTTCGGCCGAGGCTGGGGTTCTTATGTTGCTGATCATCCTCTTGTGGGCTACAAATCGCTTTTTATATAGGTTTTAGTGTAGGGGTTCTTAACCGGGCTCACAAATGGTGCTCAAGTTCTTAGCTTCTGATCTTTTCGAGTCTCAATTTCTTAACTGACTGCCAAGTTCTTAAGTGCGGGCGCTATCTGTACCGTACATACATTTCGCACACTCTCTCCGAAACCTACACCTAGATAGGTTTAGGAAAGGCGTCAGTGTCGAGCAAGCTTAGGAAAGACGACGGTAGCCTTAGTGACGAGCCCAGGTACCTGTACAAAGCAGCGGGGGGTTGTCGGCTCCGGTTATTTTGAACCACCGGGCCTTGGCTTGTGTCGAACGGACCGCCCGCGAGGCGGTTGCATCAATCGTTGTGGCCTCTTTTTCCCGAGAGATCACGCCAAAAGGCAGAGCTTGAGTAACCTCGGCGAGAAAATCGTTGTTGTTCGTTCCTTCGCAGGACTTTGTCGTCGTGTGGGTCCGTCGAAGCATGCGTTCGACCGAGCAGTTAACAGACACACGGCTGACACTCGACCACTGCATGCAGCGATGATCCCAAGTCGATGTTTTTCCTGACGTTGATTTCGTTCCCGTTCGTTGTTTCGGCCGACCGAACAATCCACAGGTACCAACCCGAACCGACCGACCGCAAATGAAAACGCCGGCCGCACAGACGTGGTCTGTTCGAAGATGGGCTATACAAAGCCAAGAGCGTTCGGATCCTGAGGTCGTTTGAAAGAGGTCAATTCGCGCGAATAATGTAGAATTCAGAATATTCGTGGTAGTGTAGAAATCGGATTGATATAGATGAGGGATCGAGGGTTGTCGAACTCTCAGCCTGTGCCGGGATGAAACCGTAGGCATGAAGGAAGGGCGAAGGGCGTAGAAGAGAGAAAAAGTCAAAAGTTTGGGGCTGGCTCTATTTGCGTGATTGAACCTAGAAAGCATTGAAAGAAAATGAAGAAAAAATGTCTCTCCGTGTAAAGCGTATTTTTTCATGTGTGGGTATGTTTGTTGTGTCGGAGGGACACTTTTGCCCATCTGACCCCTCGGTTTGGTGTCGTGTTCAGGGAGGAGCAGAAAACGATATCACTATTTAACTGGTAGCCGTGCCTCGAAGGACGTACGCGCTACCATGGCCGTTCTTGCGAAGCTCTATCGCTTACTTACCAAGAACATTCGACATCATCAATCGGACACCACGTAGATGGGGGATGGTGGGATAGCATGGGTTCGGGGCTGCAAGAGGCGGTGGTTTATCGAAACGGTTTCAACACATGGAGGAAGGAGTGAGCAAGGGATTGGGACTGCAACAGAGAATTGGCAGTTGATGAAAGTTGTGAAAAAAAGTAGATACACGAGAGATCAGTTGGGTACGTAACGCAGCGGCGGCAAGAGTTTGAGTGTACCACACCAACAAGCGCAGGCCAAAGACGGGCTATAGTTTGGCTGCGCTCCAGGTGTTTGCACCGACAGGCTATTTGCCGTGGCAGCGCCGAAGAGAGTGCGGTAGACCCAAGGAAGTAAGGACGGTGGTCGACGGGAGCGATCACTGATGTAGGAATATAGTGGAGGTTGGAAGCTTTCCAGCACCTGGTAGGCAGGAGATGTCGAAGTGGGGGCGTAAACGAGCCGCTGGCTGAAAGTGTGTTGCTGTTACGTAAGCGGATACTCTTTGTAAGTACTTGACTTTAGCTTGGTGTTGTCCGATTCACAGTCCTGAGCCGCTCAGTCACACCATAGAAACAAGGATGTTTACGAGATTGACGGTGCGGCTGGGGGTCTTGAAGCTTAAAGAAACGGCTTTTCCTTCGCGAAACGTGGGTTTGAGTTTCTATCTAAGTTGCTCCTCAGCGTATTTGTGAATGAATGCCCATTTTTCAACCTCGATTTTGGGAGGAGACCTGGGACACGGGGCGGCTTACGTGAACAATACAGCAGGGGAACAGTGTGAAAGCAAGTGATGAGCAAGAAGGATAAAGAACGGTGAAATAACGAAACCCAGCGGAACAAGAAACGTTTGCCTACCTCCAGTAGTGGCATTCGTGGTGTGTTTACCCTTTGCTAAATTCTGTTTTGCAGGGGTGCGAACCGAACCAATCGGGGGCATACTCCCGTCAACCGATACAGTTGGATGTACAGCATATCCACTATGCTGTACATCCAACAGATACCTCTGTGAGTACTGCGGCGTACCGAAACCCTATACCCGGAAGTTGTGTGAATGTTCTGACACTTCGGAAAGCCTACCCGGACTGCTGAGGTCTGTACCCAGAGAAAAAAGGGTCGAGCACCTGGGTCAATAGCACCAATCAAGTGGATTACAACGTTCGGACAAGGAAGAAAAGAATGATCAGAAACCGGTACAGCAAGTGAACAAACGATTTCAGGGCAATGACGTGAGTGATGCCCCCCGTTAGGTACACCGACGGATTGATTGGCTCAAAACTCTGTTTTCTTGGTGTGGTCATCATGGACGTGCAATTAATCCATACGAGAGCGTGGTACGGCAGACTCGCACATGGTACGAACTGCGGTCACTGCTGCGTTCGAAATAACAAACGCAAGCCCAAGCACCACGCGGTTGTCCACACATGGATGGATGGATGGATGGATGTGTAGTTCGTCGTCACGTCGACCCCCGAATGTCGCCCCGCACGTACGCCGAAAACATTTTCCCTGTTCCAGGGGTAGCAAACAGTTACGCATAAAACATGAACACGAACGTGGAAACGGCTACACACAAAAAGGAGACCAATGGTCCCTCAGACGCAAGAAAGCACCCATCGCTCTTCCCGCCTCCCCATCCACCGCCCCCCTCCCCGCCGCCGTTTTGATGCCCCACAAAATTTCCACAAAACTATGCTGGCCCACCCTCCAAAACCGCAACCCAGAACGCCGGCATAAATTCGTCCACCCTCAACGAACCCCCGCCGTCCTCGACCCTGTAGGGCGAAGGGGGGAGGTGCTTCACCTCCTCCAGCCGGAAGCCCGAGCCCTCCACCAGCAGCAGCATCTCGTCGAGGCTCAAGGCGAGAGCCGAGTGGTTGTGCCAGTGCAGCGGGCCGCAGTTGATCCACACTCCGCCAGGCCTCAACGCTCGCCGGATGGTCGCGACGTACTGTTTGTATGGGGCGACGGCAGCATGGAGAACATTATTTGGGGATAGGACTGCTGTGGACCATGTGGCGAGGCAAACAGAAAAAAGTGTGTGCCGAAAGCTATCCCTCGTTTTTGGTGGAAAAGAGGAACCTTTGCAAAAGGAGGCAGCGTTGCGCGTGTTCGATGGAGCAGCGCAGACTCTCACTGAACTGCGACGTTGTTGCTGCTGCAATCTACTGCCCCAACGCGCGTTGCACGCCAGAACGAGCTCCCCCGCCGTTCCTCCTGCACACGACCCGGCCGCCCTCACCTGTACCACATTGGGGGCGGTGTCGACGAAGAAGCTCGTAACCACGGCGTCGAAGGTGCCTTCGTACGGTCCCCCCACACCGCCGTAAGTTTCCGAGAACTCTCCTGCCTGGAAGCTCAGCCCACCGGACGCTCGCGCAAGCAAGGCCCGTCCCTCGGGGTCTGGAAACAGGACAGAACGAAACCTGATTGAGGGGGGGTTGGGAGTCATACGTTAGTAAATTCTCCGTCGTGCTTGCAGCACTGAGGGTGGAGCCTGAAGAGCACGCAAGGAAGGGTTTACTATAAGCGGCGGTTTGCTTCGTTTAGGGGGGGGGCGCTACGACTGTTTGATGTAGTGTCGCCGAGCGATTCAAGACACCAGAAACTAAATCTATGCTAGACTTGCAGCAATGGGAGAAAACGGCCAAAATCCTGGCGTAAACGGCCCCCTCGACGCTCCCCGTACAGAGGCCACACACTTCCTCCATGTCGACAATCTCCACATCTGCAGACGCTTCACTCCAAAGAATTCTTCCGTGCCACCGTCTTGGCCCCGACCTCATTTGCCACAAAATATTATCTTTCGCCGAGCCTACAACCGCGCGCCCGTTCCTTACCGAGCCTCGCCGTCCATTTCGTTGTGGGTGGCGTCGTTCAGGAACGGGTAGAACTCCAAGAACCCCTTCCCTGACCCAACCGACCCTCCTCCTCCTCCTTCCCGTCCTTCTTCTGCATCGCCCTCCGTCGCGAGCTCGTCCTCGTCGGCACCAAGACCGCAATCGCCGATAACGTCGTCGTCGCGATCTGACACACAACACGCCGTCGCCGGTGGCGTCGCCGGCGGCGATGACGGCGAAGCGTCGTGCTGCTCTCTGCTGGCGCGCGGCAGCGGGGATGTAGGGGTGGCTGTCCCCGTGAAGTCGACGCCTCGTAGCGCCTCCATCAACCAGTAGCATGAGGATAGCACTGTTGTTTCGGGTGCGTGCGCGGGTAGAGGGTAGAAGCGTGTTTGGGCGAAAGGGGGGCGCTGGGTGGGAACATCGCTCGCTCACGGCGGGACATTAAAATGTCTACCTCATGAGAACGCGCGGTGTACGGGCTGAACCAGATCGGCGCGGCTCACACCTTCAACCTCGTCTAACGAAGAGAGAACTTCACTCAACTGGTCGTGGACAGCTCGTTCGCGTGGACGCTCGCGTACCCTCTCGCCGCGATCTCTGTTGCCAAGCGTCCGAGGCCGGCACCGGGCACCAAAACATTTGCCGTGCGCCCGCAAGCAGGCGGCGTAGTAGCCGGTGGTGGGCCCGCCTGGGCACCGCAACGGCTGCCGCCGCCGCGGTCACCGTCCGTGTCACTCAGCCCGTCACTATTACCACGGCCACTCGTACTACTAGCGGCTTCTTGCCGGCCGAAGCGGTCGTCCAGGGCTTTGAGGAGCGGGGAGTACACGGCGGCTCTTACGGAGTCTCCCTCCGAGGTCCAGTCTCTCAATATGTGAGTGAAGATCTTTAACACGATGACACGTGTAAAGGTGGAAACGCGTGGGGAAATGGGGCGGGGGGGTAGTGGCTCAGGCGCAAGGTTTGTTAGTAGTACTTGGGCAAGAGCAGAAGTCACGGCGCGGGCATGGAAACGCGCGCGGAAATGTATAGTCAGCGCGAAGAGATGAGTAAAAATTTGCGACGGATACCATACCGAGATCCGAAATATTATGCACAAGAAGGAGCGGGCCTGAAACACGAATGGCACGGACCAGTGGTTGTGTGTAACATCGATTGGGTGTTGTACACGACACGACAATACCGCTTGGAACAGAACAAAATCCCCCGGGTACTTCCCCTAATGCCTAACCCTCCGCCGCGTGCTTGTTTCCTTGCCTGGTGCGTCTCGTCGTACGAGTGGAATCCCGTGCGGGTTTTCGAACCCGCCTTTCCCTCACCGCCGCCGCCGCCCGCGTCCCCATTCCCCACCCCCTGAAAAATCGGCACCGGTATAGCTCTCCGCTCCTCGGCCGCTGCGGAACCTGCGGAACCTGCAGAACCTGCGGAACCTGAGGACTCTGCCGAACCTGCGGAACCCGCAGAAAAATCTTCTCCAGTCGCGTCGCCCCCTGGGGCCACCCTCCCCGCCTGTTGTTGTTTTGTTCGCGCCACCCCTTCCTTGCCCCCGCCTGCATCGGAGACATCACCATCGGCAACAACATCGATGCCGGTACTGCTGTCATCTTCTCGGTCTTTCCCGACGGGCCTACTGGTGTCGATGGTCGTGTCCTGGTCGCTGTCGTACTTGCTCGTGGCGGGTGGGATGGGTGGGCGTGGAGGATCCGGAACAGGAAGCCCAGCTACGAAGGGCACGGGGCGCAACAGCCATGACAAAACGTCCGCGTTGACCTGTTGCGGGGTGGCGGACAATAGCGTAGGGGTATGGGGAAGAAGAGCAGTTAATGCGTGGCTGCGTCCGGGGGGGCGCCGATGACTGACATCGGCGTGGCGGCGGTGCCCCCTAAAAGCAATAGACACGCAAGAAAATGTAGGCCGAGAGAAGGCATACCGCCAAGGATTTACCGGTGCCTTGCGAAGTCGTGTCGGTGAAGACAGAAATACGCGCGGCAAGGTATCTACGAGTACGGCACAAAGAGTGCTCGTTTCGTGACGCGGGTAGACTACGTAGTCTACACACCTGCCATCGCGGCGGCATCTTGTTCAACTTGCGCCGGAGTTTGGCGGCAAGGCGGCGCATCCCTTCTCCAGGCATGTCCCCGGCCCTCACATTGGCCTTCGGCGCTGCCGCACTCTCGAGGGTGGTGATAATCATGTCCAAACTCTAGGCGTCGGGGGAAAGCAGGTAAGTGGTTCTTGTATAAGCACAATACCTGCCAACTATCAGGAAATGTCTAGAGTTGTAATGCTGTCCGTGAATTGTTGGTATCCTCGATGTGACAGGCGTAGAACCTCAGATGCCTTGCTCTACCGACCGGATCGAAAAACGCACAGATATGAGCAGAGCGAAGTTTACATGTAGTCTACACCGATCCCAACACAAATGCTGCTGTAACGCCGAGAAACCCAAAGCACCTTCATTGTGATGCCGCGAATCAACCCCACTCGAAATCGTACCCCGAAACCCCCAGCAACCAGCACTGAACAATATGGCGTACACAAATGGCGTTGGCATCTTGTAAGGCAAGACGGCCAGTAGCATAGCAATGCTTTGATTGTTTTCTCTTGCTCGCACACACCTGAACGGCCTTGACGAGATCCTGCTTGTACTCCTCCACCTTGTGGTTCAGGTGGCTCCATCTGCTAAGGGCGTCGTCATCATTCCCACTCCGAAAAAAGGGGATCGCCATCTGCGTAGGCTGTTGTTCCCCACCCACGTTTCCACTGCCTCCGTTACTGCTCCCGGTGCTCCCGGATGGTCCCTGCTGCTGTTGAAACTGTTGAATCTGCCAAGTTGGTCTATGTTTTCGACACAGCAGCAGCAGCACTCCTACCGTACTCACTAATCCCAGTACAACGCGCTGGGTCCACAACAGCATGGAATCGGAGAGAAAATGTTCCCTACGATACTAGAGTCCGCTGTGGAAGGCCATGGGTGAAACTCCGGCGGAGAGAGAGCTCCGTCCACGGCAGCGACGGTAAACCTGCCCCCTCCCCCGCACTGAACACACTGACTCCTATTGGGGTGGTCAATGGAAAGGAGCAGAAAGGAGGGGAGGCATGACGATTCTTGACAGTCCCGTGCTGACTATATAATTTTTTTTTGCAAATACCCCATTGCCACCCACCGGGGAGGAGACGTCACTGCTGTATGCTGCTTGGTATGTCGTAGAAACACAGATAGCACCACGCTAACCCTACGAATGTATTACCAATTTTTCCTACAGACCCTTTTCTTTGGATAGAGATGCCTTTGTTGTGGTATACCATAAGTAGTCTAGTGTCACATCAAGATCGATTTTACACAGCCCAGATCCATCAAGATCGATTTCTTTCCTTTGATGAGCGCTACATACAACGACGACGATGCAAGCACGCACACACCGATACGAGACACGAGACTGGAGGGCAGACTCCGGCTGCACCCTCCCACCGGTTGACCACAGCCAACCCACCCCTTACCTCGATCCCCGCCAGCATAGACCTGTGTACAACGCGCTGCGGCCAAGCGTGAAACACTATTTCCTGCCGCACAGAAACGCAGTCAGTCATTGCACAACATCCGTGAGTCGAGCTTTGGTCTACGGTATGCGCGTTGAAGGGTCTGCCGCCCCCCAACCTGGGCCACTCGCTTCGGAGGATCTTTCTTGATGAAAGTATTTGCGTCCGATCTATTGTGGCCGCCAGTCTACACGTTTCGGTTTGTGCTGGATGTGCATCAGCCAGCGTCACACAGGAGGAACGAAGTCGCAGGAGTTTTTTTCGTTTTTTTTTTGGTATCGTAAAGAAATTGGTCACATTCCATTCGTTAGAAAAATGGTACAGAATTCCCGTTGAAAAGCACATCCCACTCAAAATTTAGTTTTAACCATGACGACCCTGTACAACTCAACAACTCAGCAATCCTTTGAAATATTTGGGCAGCAAACTCTACCCTTGGTAGGCAACCTTGAGTCTCTTGGTCAGAGAATAGGTCTCTTCTCAGAATAGGGCCCGTAGGTTCCACCTGCCATATACGGTCAAACACATACCGTACCCAAGCCATACCGTACCCAAGCCATCGTGTCGGAAGCCGACTGTCTATCCGATATAAATATGAAACCTCATGCATGTGTGTGGTGTCGGGGCGCTGTCAAAAGCAGCCCCCGGCGAGAAATTACACAAAAAAAAATTAAACCATCGCGAGTGCGTCCCCGGCAAAGTGGCGGTCTCCACACAAAATCCTACTTATTCTGTATCCCGCGGGGCAACGCCGAGCGCTGCGTGAAGCCGGCTATCCAAGTAATCCGAGACGCAAATCCCGCCGCCGATGACCCCCTTCAGCCTTTCCTGCGAGCCTTCCCCGACGCCGAAGGTGTAGAGCCCCGCCGAAACGGCGGAAGACACGCCGTTGACGCTGTCTTCGAAGGCGACGCACGCGTCCGCGGGGAGGTCTAGCCTCGACAGCCCTTCTAGGTAAGGGTCCGGGTGGGGCTTCGCCCGCGGGCACTCGTAGCCGATGACCATCGTCTCCTCAAACCTGGCAACGACAAGAAAAGAAAAGGGGGAGGGTAACCTGAAGTTTGAGTAAGCAGACGGGTTGCGGGAGAAAGGATGGAGAAAGAAAACAGTCCGTCGGGTGCGCTGCGGTGAGATATTGTTGAGGGTATTCTTCAGTGTGCACAGCCGGGGGTGGGCACTCGTCAGCGCCTAGCCAGAGCTAACAAACGAGCAAAAAAATAGGGGAAATTTTAGGTTTACGCAGGAAGCAGATGCTACTCTGCGGCACTATCAAGAGCAGAGTCAAGAAAACCAACGAAAGGCAGAATACGACGATTGTGCTTGAAAAGAAAACGTGATTAAAAAACATCGTGTGTACAAGACAGCGTTTTGAGAGCACGGGCGGCGTCAAAATCACAGCGCCACGATGACGAGGGTCCAGGAGCATGGAGCCTTGCTACACCGGAAGATGGCGGGGCTACTCTGGAATCGAGTGCAACCAATCGAAAATAACAGCGAAGGTCGCGGCAAGTTTTGTCAACACCACCTCGACAGCATGCAACAGACGCGCCACCGATACCTGTCGGAGAGGCCAAGGATGTTCAGCGTGTGCACGGCGTCCAGTCTAGGGGCGTTGGTCACTAGGATCATGGCCAGCCCCTCGGATTGGCAGCCGTCCAGGAACTCAAGCAGACCGGGCAAAAGGGTCATCGTGGTGGAAATCTTCCGGTACACCTCCTCCTTCGCCTTCCAAAGCGCGGTCTGGTCCTCTGCCAACATCTCCGGGAAGAGCTTTTCGACTGCTCAAAAGAACCAGGGGAAACAGCAGTACAGTAGCAAAGAATCTTGTGTCAAGCGGGGGTCAGTAGAACGGGTTGGAGGTTGGGTTTCGGCTTGGTAGCGAGAGTGAGGGGGGGCGCCGGGGGCACAAACGCTTGTGGCGTTCAGTGTCCTACAGCAAAAGGAATGTTTGTCTTGTCGCTCGCGGACGGCTCGAGGAGTGAGCGCCGCCGGCCGTCAAAGCGGGCGTGTCTCCAGAGTGCGTCGGATTGCGGGGGGGCACCTCGTCTACTCGTTCGCGATGCCGTGCACACGTGCTCACCTATCGCGGGGTTGCTGTTGCCGGACATCCAGTCGTCGTAGTACTCCCTGGATATTCGTTCTCCTCCGTTGAAACTCGGTGTCAGCTGTGGCAACGAAGTAGGGGACGCAGTTGACAGGATTATTATTTCTTCTTCTATCGCAGGTCACAAAACCCCTTAGTGTGAATCACACCATCCTAGCGAGGTTTTCGAAAACCTACTGCGCTGTCTCGATGGAAGGCAAAAGTTTCGACCTGTGTCCGCTTGCACCAACCGAGATGACGGGAGACGTTCAGTGTCAAGCGACAGGGTAGGCCGTCGGAAGTAGTCAAGAGGGTGGTAATGCCACCTCTGATCCCGTCGTCTTGTGAAAGATGTCGACGCAAAGCTGCCAAAGCCATCATTTTGACCCTGACATTCCTTCCACTTACTGAGGAGGTACCGGGCATGGAAATCTGCCACAGGGGTTGTCCTGCACTGCTGTCACAGGATGCGCACTCACAGCAGTGAAAATCACAGCGACTTTGAAAACAATCAGTATCGAAACCCCTCAACTTCTTTGAATTAGAACTCGATCGAAACGCGATGATTGTTGCGCAAGGTTCTGCGGGTCGTAGAGCTGTACATACATACGGCTTGCATCGCAAGAGGGCGGGCCCGAGAGACGCCGCCGCGTGATTGGATGCTTCTGGGCAGGTAAACCGACGAAGGGTAGTTCTAGGAAACACAGCAGAAGTTCTACCTGGCACGAAGCCAACACAGAACCACCCCCCGGCGGCAATAATATTCGAATGAGCCGTGGAGCGCGAAGCGAGATCTTTTCCCCCCCTTTGTCCCAGGAGGGACTAAAACAGTTCAATCTATCAGGCTCTTCCAACACGTTTAGAGGCCCAAGTTTCACTATGGAGCGGCGAAAATTACCTCTCCTTTTTCGACCAGAACCAGGTCTATATGTAGAGCACCGATGTACGATCTGCTGGCTCGTGAGGAGGAAGAAAAATAGCGCTCTCTTCGTCACACCGATTTAGGCGGTCTCCGACAACAGATGGCCGTACTTCACAGGCGTTTGTCCCCAAGGGGCCCTCAGGAATAGAGCGCCCTACTGGTTCAAGTCGTCTGAATTCAATTCACCCACCCGCCCGAGAACAGAACGCAACACCGGCACACAACGCATCACCGCTGGGAGGACAACACAACATCGGCGGGGGAAGGGCAGCATTTAGCATACGCGCATTCCAACATCGGCAGGGGAGGAGGCGGCGCCCTATCCACACATGACATGAACCAGGTGAGACCGGGGACAAGAGAGGCAGAGGAAGCAGAAGAAAACAACATTTTTTTTCGGCCTATTAAGGCAGATGGGAAGTGTCCAGGGTTCCACCTGGATTATTGACTGCATGCGCAGAGACGGTCCTCGCTTCATGCGCCTTAGCCACCATTGACATGCACATGCAAATGTAAGTATGCGTTGCGCCACTGACCATATGCCAGCAACAGCAGCTCCTAGGCTTCGCTGGTGAGCGTGTTCAGCTTGTGTACACAAATCCTACGTGCTCCGGAGTGGTCTTGAACAACACAAAAATCTTTCCGGTGCACGTTGGTCAAATCAATCGTGCGTGCATTTAGTACCACCGCCGTTTGTTCCCGCGTCTTGCCTTTCCCGTGTCTGCGTCAGGGTTATGACGGCCAAGAGGCACTAGACATAGTCAAACCTCATCGACAATTTCTTACGCACCCTGGCAAACATGCCCAGCTCCAAGCGATTGGCGAGGCTGGGCCGCAAGATAAAGCGTCATGGAATATATTACGGGGATCGTTACGATAACATTTATGCGATGAACATCATCCATGGCAAGAGATCAGACCAGCAGCAACAGCAACAGGCGATAGACAAGCTGCGCGCGATGGAACAGGCCTTTCAGCAGCAACAGCAACAGGATTTAGACAGGTTGCGCCCGATAAAACAGACCGTTCTGAGCTCGCTGAGTGCCGAAGAGAGGCTTGAGCACTTGGGTGTGTGTGTTGGAGACGGAAGAGAGGGAGGCGGACGTAGAGGCAGATTTCCGCATACTGGAGGAGCAAGACGTAGAGTTGCTCGAGCATGGCATGATGGAGGTATGTGACGTTGAAATGATGGAGGAAGCCATAGGTGAATGGAAGGATGGCACTCGGCCGTATTGAAAGGAGCGGTGTATTGGCTCATAGGGGTAATAAGGTGAACGAGATGAACATCGGGACGCAATGTGTTCGTTGTGGAACTTGGGTGTGGAACGACTGAGAACAATTCGCATCTTCCGTGCAGCACTGTTGTAGTACGTGACGTACGCATCATCAATAACGGGACGTCTCTGCGTGTGTGTAGTTGCGTGAAGCTGCGCGCTTCTGGGGAGCATTTGATTGAAACGGCCAGCTTGTGTATTGCATGCAGGGTGGAGCTACGTTGACAAGTACTGTTCGAAATCGATCCACAAGCATGCACTGCTGTACGGGTCGGGCGGCTCGCGGCCGCGCTCCCGCTTCCGCACCCTGAGAAATGAGCGGAGACAGATCTAGACACGAAGTGACAGTTTGCGACACAAGCAGGTCGCGACCAGCGGGCGCGACACGAGCGGGCGCGCGAGAGAGGAGAGAGGTCGAGAGAGCAACTAACATGCACGCAAGATGCACTCAACATAGAAAGACCACTTTCAGTTTGTGAGACATCGTAGGGCATGAGAATGCCACAAATATATGCAGAGCCATACAGCGCGAAGCGCGGTGGTAGACAGGTTGGAACATCTCTTCCTCACACCTCCAGGCCTGACAAGCCACAAAGCTTCGCGAGTGGCATCGACACACCTTTCTATTTGTCTGCTTGTTGGGAGGTCTGCCACCGGGAGCGGGATAGAGTACCTTTGACGGTCAAGATTTTATTAATCAGGCGCCTTTTCTACTACCATACTTCTCTATCTTTTGAAACATCGCACGGCATCGCAGATAGACTACTGCAAGGTATTGAGTCGTCCCCGCCGCTCATTACCCCTCCCTTTCTAGCACGGGCAACATGAGCCCCAGAATATGAAACTACACCCCGCACACAACAATAAATATGGAACACACTCGGCGATACTATTAATAACTACTGCGGCCAAGGGTAATCACCAGGGGGGGGGGGGGGGTATCTTGTGTCCTATGTACAGTAAACGTTGACGCCGCCGGGGAGGCCGCCTTGTTTACTACAAGCGGATTCACGCCCATGAGGAGCGGGGGTTCCAAGATCTCCATCATCGCTTAATCAACACCGACGAGTAACCACTGCTACGTAGGAACTTCATGGATGGAGTTTCGGCTACTCGCGTGAGGGAGCGGAAAAGCCAGCCCCAACCACTTGCGTTGGCAGAAGAACCGGAGATCTTTGGGTTGACAGTTCGCTGTTGTTGCTGGCCTGCCCTGACGTCAACGGTGCGCCTTCGACTTCATGAGTCCGTCGCATTTCTTCGGCTTCTACCGGTGGCCGACTGCTGTTGATGCCGGTGGAGACAACGCCCTTTTTCGACTATGTAAACGACGCGTAGGTGTATGTATATATATATGCAGAGGTTGAATCTATGTACTCTAAGTTGAAACGAAAATTCGGGCTGTGTCGCCACGCCGATTCTTGGTGCTCCGCTCGAACAAAAAGTTAAAGTTTTGGCACCAGCAAGGAAGGTGTTCCAGCTGTCACTTTGTAAAACTCAAGCCTCCTCTCTTTGATCTCGGCTCTCACCAAGAGCTCATTTGCAATACACGAGACGGGACGAAACGCCGGTGCTCTCGAGAATGCTGCGGACGCGTCGGCCCTGTGACTCGCCCCGACAACTGAACGTGTTGTTTGCAAACGCATGTATTGTAGACACTCGCACCTTGAGGAACGTTTCTCGGTACGCCTCGAAGTGAAGCGTGTCGCTGTCAGTCAAAGTCCCATCCATGTCGAACAGGATGCCCTTGACGGTGGCTGGCAAGGAAGGGAGCTGTTTCGTAGCTCCACTCTCGGCGGATACCGCACTGCTGCTACTGCTGCTGCTGCTGCTGCTGCTGCTCATGATGTTTGTCGTCGTCAGCAGTCGCACGGGAGGACTGAAGAACGCGGAGGCGATGTCACACAGCACAGCTAGCGCAAACACTGCAACAAAAAAAGCTGCACGGCATGGATTCAGACACGCCCTTCCAGCAGCAGAATGCATCCAAGTTGAGGTAGCAGAGATAGCGCAGGCCGGACACCAGGCATTGCAATCAGTGCGGTGCATTTGAATTTGAAGGTGGGGGGGCGCAGATGGTATTAGAGCTCCGCACAGGGTACACGCCATTTGAAAAAACTAGGTTGCATCATCGCCTTGCATCTCCTCCCAGTGTCCAGTACGGCGGTGCTAGCAGTACCTTGGACACAAGACCACCACCATGCACGGCAGGAAGAAGAGCGACCTCCCGCAAACGAAGGAGGAGAAGGATGCGGTGCGGGCAAAAATATCCAACTACAAAAAGGCAAGAGAGGGAGAGCAAACACTAACAGCAGTGCCTTTGTGCAGAGCCCCTTTGATGTTGTCCATCTCTACCGCTACACCGCATCTCTCTCTACTGCCGTGGGCTCCTCCTCTGCGACATTTCTGGTGTTCTCGTTTGTAAAATTGGGTCATGTTTCCAGTGCTCTCCATTGCTTGTTGTGGCGCTAGCTTCCCAGCAGCTCTCCAGTTCTTCGCAAGACCTCGCACTCCCGATTTCGCCTCTTTCTCTCCGCTGCCCTGGCAATCCACCGTCATTTGTCGGTAGCACTTGTACGAGCTGCGATATACACAAGCATATGAATCAGCAAGCTTGTTGCGTTCCTGGTTGTACTGCAAGACGTGTGGAAGCCCGTGTACTGCAGCACGTTTGCTATGGGTGCTGGATTAGCTGTTGTGTTTTGTGCCCCTCCCTCTTGCCCTTCAGATGGTTGTTCCCGCTGTGCTCCTCAGCGAGCGAATAACTCCGACATGCAGTCGCTATTGGCCCTGGCACTAAGCAGACCATAGCTTGTTAGAAGAACCTTCGGTAACGCGGGTCGCGTCTCTCCTGTTCTGGAGATCACACTGCTGTTCGAATACGCCCCCCGATAACATTGAATGACGCCAAACTTGGAAGCATAATGATTTGTTTGCCCATAGGGGCGAAGGGCAAGCGTTTTGGCCGCTTCACACATCCTCCTTGTGTGTAATCTTAAATCTTGAGCATCACAGGATCACAAGCAACCGCCGCCTCGAAAGAGCAACCAAACAAAGAGTGCCTTCACCCCCGCCCATAAAAACAATCCCACCAACACCTATGACACATATCGCTAGGGCAGGTTTCGTCATGCCAGCACCTCCCATCCCTCTGCCGGAGTGCATGGGGCAGATACCGCGTGCGTCGTGTAGTTGTACGTTCGACCTGCCGCAGAGGGCAAAACGCCAGTAGCGCTGCTTCTACATACATCTGCATGCTGTAAAGAGGGATTTATACTGGCGTAGAGCGGTTGGGACGTTTGCTGAGGGCTTTGACAGCCACTCCTGGTGGTTGCACGCCGTTGCGTGAGAAAGCCTTGGTCAATCTGCGCGTAGTCGTTCCTCGACGTGCTCCTTCAGCAGCAGGCCGTATGGCTTGCCTCTCCGCGTGCTCACGGCAGCGACAGCACTCGGTTGGGCGGTGGGACCTAAAACTACCATCGCTTGTCTCCCGTTAGACATGACGGATGCATGTGGTAGCACCCCTTTGTGCTGCTGTCCCAACGAGGGGGCCCCGTGTTTCACAAGCCGATAACATACCCTCACCAACCTCTAAATGTGCGCGCACGACGACGACACCTTCTATTTGTTCAGAGGAGAGATATTTATTTTTCGGTGGTGCGTAAGCGTGTGCTACATATCTCAACCACAGGAGGGCGTTGAATAATCCATATTCGGGAAACCAACATACGATCTAGCTCGAATTGTTGTGTATTTGACGCTGATCAAAGTTGTCTGAAAGACCGATCCATCGATTCGCTATGTGCTAAATACGCTTTTTTTTATCAGGGGTGTTTTGTGGTAGCTCTCGTAGCACGTCCATCGGATATTCTGCACGTGCAAAGAAAGGTTTGAGGACGTGCATGCTCACCGCGTATGCCCTCCCCTTTCACTGCGTTTTCCAATCCCGGTACGTTTGGTGACTGTTTGTTCGTGTGACCAGGTGGTCGGTGCCATCCGCCACAAGAGGGCGACTGGGCAGATGGATGCGGAGTACAAGCAGCTCCTAGGGAAGCTCCTGCGCCTGCATCCAGACTACTATTCCATGTGGAACTTTCGCAAGGAAGCAGTTCTGGCTGAAGTGAGAATAAGACCGGAAGGGGGGGGGGGGGGGTCGTCGGGGATAGATAGAGAGAAAGGCAGGTGTAGACAGAACGGGACGCTCGCGGCCGGAGGGATCGAGAGATATGAACGGGGGAGGAGTGGAACAGTATGGAAAGAGAGAGTGAGGAAGAAATAGACGTTGTTGAGGGAGGGAGGGTCACAGACAAATAGGCAAAGATGATCTATCACGCAGACAAGGAAGCACCGAATGGAATTTTGAGGGTTGTCAACTCTCTCTCTCTCTCTCTCTCTCTCTCTCTCTCTCTCTCTCTCTCTCGCTCTATCCCTCTCTCTCTCAGCATCTCTCTTCGCTTTCTCGCTGCTTTCCCTTCCTCGCCATTCTTCTGGGACCAACGAGCAGCTACAATTTCTTGCTACACCCACCGCTGCACCCCATCTCTTTTCGCGTCTTGACCTTCCGCGCCAACACGCCCCAATCCCTTATCCACACAACGCCGACGGCGGGCCCCTCCCACCTACCAACACTGCGATACGTGCACAGCTTTCTCGAATAGAAGACGCACATAGCAGGCAAGGCGGGAGCGACGACGGGGATAAGGCGGCGGAGGAGATCAGCAGCGGTACGTTGTTGTCACCGTCTGTCCAGGAGCAGCAGAAGAAGAAGATATACGAGGAGGAGCTCGCGCTGAGCGTGGACTGCATCAAGCGCAATCCCAAGTCGTACCCGGCATGGCACCACCACAAGTGGGCCTTGGAGAGGGGGCTGGACTTGTTGGGAGGGAGGTA